GCGGCCGGACTTTCATCGCAGCGTGATTGTTCTGCGTTATCTGTGGCGGTGCTGGGACGTGCCGTCTTCACATCATCGCCGTCGCCATGGCTCTCCATGGTGTAATGGATGGAGATGAGAGCTCCCAGCCCAATCGACAGGTCTGCTCAATCGGAACCGAGTGCCTTGGGATGTGTACTCGCAGTTCCAGAGATTATGGCGGAAAGAGTTATCGTGCGGGCTGCTTGGTTGGGTTGGGATGGTGGAATAGGTTGAGGGGATGATCCTGGAGGCTATCCTCGTTACTATCTGTTCGCGAAGTTCCACTTCGACGTGCACTGTGAATTAGGGTGGATCTTGAAAATGGTAAACATCACGCAAAGAACCTGCCCTGACATATTTACAACTAAACCATCGCTGGGGCTCAGTAGCACAAGCTGATGCACAGTGAGATCTGCCTCCCACGCCTGGTTCGTGCACAGTCAGAGAAGCCTCAAATCCCTCAACTGCTTTTCGTGTTCGGGCAGCAGTGGCGGTGGCGACCACTCAGGAGGGAGAGACATTCAGACAAATCCTCCACAATAAATTCCTGGGTAGGGCATGGAGGGAAGGGCAGAGGACAAGGAGGAAACATAGGGGCCGCAATGTTTTTTATAGTAAATGAGCGCATCCCAGACATACCATGCACTACACGCTAAAATTGTAAAAAAACAATAGAGGGAATGGAGATGGACGGGCAAGAGGCAGAGGACGAAGAGGCAGCAGACATGGAGAAGCGCATTTAACTTTTTTTTCACGTATAAAAAAAAACAGCTTGAACTATGAAGCACAAACTAATGAACTATGAAGTTGTGAGAGACGAGCTGAAACATGGGCCGCGATCATGAAGATAAGCTCTTTGAAAGAAAAAAAAAAAGGCAAAAAGAAACAAACGCAACGGTTAACTAGGCAAGTACAAGTGGAAGTTGCAAGGGCCCCAGAACTATAGAGCCGGCACAGCTGAATACAACTATTTGATTTTCAGCATGAGAGTGAGCAAATACCTTAGTGATGATCCTTTTTGCAAGGACGTGATAATGTCGCTGCCATATCCGCTGCAACCACCAGGGTCGAGACCAGCAAGCAGTAAAACAACCCCCACCAGTGCCAACACCACCAATAGGATCGCGCCAAGTGTCAGCAGGATAAGAAGCCCCGCCTCCCCTGTGCATCCTCCTATGGCAGCGGCGCAGTCACTACAGCCGGAGAAGCAGAAAGAGCAGCCGGAGCAGTCTGAGTAGAGACAGATGGGTGCCACGTGGCAGTCACAGCTGCCACACACACTGAGATGGGGGGGAAGGGGATGTCGTACATTATTAAAGGGGGGATGTAAAGAGTGGGTTGAGATAGCCGTTTGCACGCATGTGGGTCCGCAGCAGGCCTTTGAAACGCAGAGGGGCACTCACTGCACAGCACTCGCCCAGGTCTCTGCAGAAGGCAACTAGGTCTCTGCAGGGAACTGCTAGGGTCTCTGCAGGGAGGCCAAAACAAACCACTCACAGGCGGTCGCAGCAGTAGGCCCCAGGTCTCTGCAGGGAGCAGCTAAGTCTCTACAGGCAGGAAGCCGATCCATCCCTTGGCCCTCCAGAAAGTGCACTCACAGCGGGTCACAGCAGCACGCGCCTAGGCCCTTGCAGGGAGAAGCTAGAAATCTCTCTTGGGGAGCTGAGGCGAACCACTCACAGGGGGTTGCAGCAGCAGGCGCCCAGGTCCCTGCAGGGGAGCTGCAAGGTCGCTGCGAAAGCGGCGATCAACACACGTCATGACGGCACCGAGCAGACCAGCAGATACGAGGAATAGCAGCACTCCTGGTTGGGACACGGCATGAACAATGTCGTAGCGCGTTGGGAGGCGGTCAAGTGGTAAAACTTAACATGCACTTGCAGCGCGAGTGACGAAGGCGATGAATGAGAAAGTAGAGAGGATGACGGAGGGCAGAGGGGGGGGGTGGGGGTTGGTGTGGGGAGGGTTGCGGCAGGAGGTGGGCACCACTGCCTCTCTCACCATAGATGTATTAGAATGTTAGTGCGCTTTGCTCACAAAGCGCCACACAAGCACTGCACATGCCTGTCTACACGCACCACAAACCTCTCTCACCACAGATGTAGTACAATGTTGCTGCGCTTTGTTCACAAAAGCGACACCCAAACACTGCACATGCCTGTTCGCCACACACCACAGCCTGTCTCACCACAGATGTAGTAGAACGCTGCTGGGCTTTGCCTGTCCCATGTTTCTGAAACCCCATGTCGAACCAATAGTAATCCGCCACGTAGGCAGTGTAGCCAAAGCAGATTATCAGCTGGTGATTTCGAAGGAAACGGAGGCGAGGAGAAGGGCAGAAACGGCTGAAGGCGGTGCAAGGAGTTGCATGTGAGAGAATGAACAGTGAAGGGAGAAAGACGGGACGGAGAAAATGTGCAACACGTCATCTTAGCATGGGCTGGCCAAGAGGTGGTGCAAGAGGTGCCCCTTGAGGCGCCTTGGAAGAGGTGCAGAGGCAGGGGCAAAACTTACCATCTGCACCAGCAGCGTTATGAGCACAATATCCCTCGCGACAAAGAATCTGAACTTGAGATGGCGGCATCTGAGGTCGGGCGGCAGGCACACGCGTAGCTGGAAGCGGCCTTGCACGTGGAGCAGTGGCAGAAGGCGAACCCCTCCTTGGTGGCCCGCCATTGGTCCAGGCAGTGCCGGTGGACAAATCGCGCCGAGCCCTTGCACCTGCATGGGGCGATGAGGTCCCGACCTGCTCCGTGGGGGGATGAGGACGCAATGGGCATGGGTACGCGTTATTGACTTCTTAAATGCCTCGAAGCATGTTTCCAAAGGAGCCTTGAACCAGTTGCAGGGGTGACGGAGTCCTGACCCGCTGGGAGGGAGGTGAGCAGTATGTATGTATCAGAGAATGTCATGCATGCCTGAAGCACATGCATGCCTGAATCTCAATGCATTCCTGAAGCACATGCGTGCTTGAAACACATGCATGCCTGAAACACATACATGCCTGAAACGCATACGTGCCTGAAACACATACATGCCTGAAACGCATACATGCCTGAAACTCATATATGCCTGAAATACATACATGCCTCAAACACATACGTGGTCATCACAGGAGAGTCTGAGAGTGAAGAAACGCGGAGGCGTTGCAGGGATGAGTTGCTACGCACCGTTGCTCTCCAGGCAAATCCTGATTTTGATTCTGCCCAAAATCGCCCTCCAGGCATAGTCTGATATTGAGGCGCCTCAAAAGAAGAGGCGCGGAGACGTATAGCGGGGATAAGTTGCTACGCACCATCGGTCTCCAGGCAAATTCGGCACTGCGGTTGGTCCTCGTCTTCTGGCTCCTCTTCATTCCTCATTCCCCCCATTCTCTGACATGCCAGCACTCTTCCCGGACATCACATCTGGACCGCTCAACCCGTCTCGCGCCTTTCCACCTCTATCCATGAATATTTCCTGCATTCCTCCTAGCCTCGCTGCTCCTCTGGCTCCTCCGACTCTTCCGTATCCTCCGTCGCTCCCGGTGCCGAGTCCCGTCGCATCCCCGCTAATGAGGGGAGCGACTAGGGGAGTTTCCTCATCGATCACAACCGCCAAATGCTCTCTCTCCGTCTCCATTTCCCTCGCCTCCCTACTATCCTTCTCCTTCTCCCGCGTCCTCGGGTATCCATCTGTGCTCTCTCGCGTGTCGATTTCTTGAGACGGTTCCCTTCCACCTCCCTCGAGTAATCGCGCAACGAATCGGACGGTTCGGGCAAAAGCAGGTGCCGAATGGACGACGGAGATCTATCGACGCTTCTATCCTCGACCTCCCGTGTTTCCCGCTGCCGCAGCAAGCTCACAATTTCCCGCGCCGCGGACTGACGAAAGGGCGTGGTCATCACGACGCCACTAGAGATTGTTAGAGGACCCTACTTGTAATCTCGAACGTCGACCGTGCGTTTACTCTTTCGTCAGTCAACAGATGGGAGTCACGGAGTCGGGTTGGGTCGGGAATCAAGTCTGGGGAGTGAATGCAGTTGGTCAGAAGGTGAGACTGACTGAAAACTAAGCGGGAACGTGGCTGCGTGAGAGGCAAGTCACTCAGTTCAATCGGCAGCTAATTTTTCGGTGAACCGTTTTAGATTCTTATTACAGCGTTCTTGACCGCGTGTTACCTCGGCACAAATGAAACATCTGACATTCCCTGAGCTGTCCACTTTGCGAACACCAACGATGTCAGCTCGGCACCTGACAAAAAATTCCAGCTGTGTGGCACCCAACCGCTGCATACCGATCAGAAGCAAGAAGAATCCACGGCGAACTTGGAAATGAAAATCAGTGCTGATCTGCTGGGCAAGTGTGGCGAAAGCGGGATTGCCGACAGCTGAGGTTAGAGACCTGTAACACAGCGCACACTTGGACACCTGCACAAATGACTGTATCTGCTCAAATTAATTAGCGGTCGTGCCCAAGTGTTGGAGCTCCAGAATCCATTACGAAATCAATACATGGGGCCATATAATGATGGATTTCCCATCAGACAGTAGTTACCTTACGTGTTGCAAGGTCAACAACATGCATGGTCCAATTGACACGGAACTTTCAAGCACCTGCATCCAATGCTACTCCCCATCAAATACCGTAGAGACCCCCGTTGCAGCTCCAAACACTGCAACTCGTTTTCCTTGACAGTTCACAGTGTCAGCTCAGCCCATCGCGGTTTGCGAAGCCAAAATTGCGCGTCTCAAGGCACGACGCCACTACTACCTGCAAGTGAGCAACCCCCCGAAACCCCTTTTCCTCAAGCTAAACCTATATCATACGTGCGCATTCGACTGCCCCACTGAGATCCACAGCATGGCTATCCACCAACCACCATGCGCCACACCGCCATCCCCCCTCCCCCTTTCCTTACCCTTTCACTGGTTCATCTCCCATTTGGCGCACCCCTGCCTGCCTCCTCTCCCATTTCCACCCACTCTGCCCAACCCATGTTATCTGTGTGCATTCTTCCTCTCCTCCTTAATCCACGGCATGGCCCTATCAACCGCCATGCGCCTGACAGCCACCTCCACCTCGCCCCAATCCCGCACCCTCTCGATCAGCTCGTGGTGCGGCCCGCCGCCCGCCGTCTTGCTCCAGGGGTACTGCAGCAGCCAATCAAAGAGCAGCACCTGGATGCCATGCTCCGCACACTCCATGGCGTACCGCGGGTTGTCATCTATCAGCACCTCCGCACCCAGCTCCCTGTAGAGTGGGGGGAAGGAGGGGGGAAGGGGGAATGGGGGGGTTGGGTTTGTGAATAGTAAGAGCAGCACCTGGATGACGTGCTCCGCACACTCCAGGGCGTACCGCGGGTTGTCGTCTATCAGCACCTCCGCACCCAGCTCCCTGGTGGGTGGGAAAGGTTGAGTGCGGGATGAGGACAGAAAGAGGAAAGGAACGGATAAGGAGGGGATGACATGGGAGGGGTGAGCACATGGCGCACTCCATGGCATACTGCGGATTGTCGTCTATCAGCACCTCAATCCCGACCTCGCTGAGGGAGGGCAGTAAGGGCGTGGGCGCATGATGAGGGTTAGCAGCAGAACATACAATGGAAAAGAAGTTTTCTCTGCACATTCCATGGCGTACGGTGGATTGTCGTCTATCAGCACCTCCGCGCCCAGCTCCTCAGTGGGAAATTGGAAAAAGAGGGGGTGGGGGTGAGGATAGGAGGTGGAGCAAAGAAGGGGTCTGCACACTCTTTGGTACATTCAATACAAGGCTACAGGCACGCACCGGCACATCTCGGACTTGGGTCGGGGTGTGCCTTCGAGTGCGAAGTGATTGCCGAAGTGCACTGAGGAGAAGACCCCGGGGAAGTGGTTGTCCAACCACTCCAATGTGGGCTCGCGAATCACATGCTGCCGCGACCTGCATGTACACACATGCAATGTGACAACAACGAGGGCAGTGCAGTGAGACAAGTGGGAAGAGAGCAGCAAGCGTACGGGGCAACGAGAGGGCAAGAGAGCAAGCGGGGTGAGGGCAAGAGGGCAAGGGAGCATACGTGACGACAACGAGGTCGGTGAAGTGGGAGAGGCAGCGCAGCAAGGCAAGGGGCAGAGAGAGAGAGAGAGAGAGAGAGAGAGAGAGAGAGAGAGAGAGAGAGAGAGAGAGAGAGAGAGAGAGAGAGAGGAGCAGGGAGCAGGGAGCAGGGAGCAAGCGAGCGTACGTGACAACAACGAGGTCGGTGAAGTGGGAGAGGCGGCGCAGTGTGTCAAAGGCACCGGGAATGATGGGGATGCCGTCGTTGAAATGTGCCGACTTGAAAAAGTCGTGCACACGGTGGTTGGCTGTGAAGGGAGGCGGAAGAATGGGGGGGGAGGGGGAAGGCGGGGTGGTTGGGGGGAGGGAGCCTTAAGATGGCTCGAAGCTCAGAACTCGATTCTGGGGATTCCGTCGTTCAAGTGGTCCGACTTGGACAAGTCAAATACAAGGTGGTTCGCTGGCAGGGAGGAGGCGGCGGAGGACGCAAAGGAGGAGGAGGAGGAGGAGGAGGAAGAGGAGGAGGAGGAGGAGGAGGAGGAGGAGGAGGAGGAGGAGGAGGAGGAGGAGGAGGAGGAGGAGGAGGAGGAGGAGGAGGAAGAGGATGGGAAAGAGGGGGCTCGATGGAGCAAGTTGAGATGCTTCGAAACTCATAACTGTATATACTTGAGACGTTTCATGACTCGATTATTAAAATGCCATCATTGGAGTGGTGTGATTCTTCCTTCCCCACGTGGCTGTTCCTTCCCCACGTGGCTGGTCCTTCCCCACGTGGCTGGTCCTTCCCCACGTGGCTGTTCCTTCCCTACGTGGCTGGTCCTTCCCCATGTGCGCATGCCAGGGACAAAGGCATAGAGATGGACAAAAGGAAGTAGCCACAATGGCGGGAGAACGAGGAAGAAAGAGAGAGACCTCAAGCGGGACGCTCACCTTCTTCCTGCGAGCACTTCCACACCTGCACCGCACCGCACCGCACCGCACCACGCAGTCGCATTTGCAGTGCCATGGGGGTTTGGGCGGACGGGGAAGAGGCACGGGGTGTATAGGGGGCGGGTTGGGGCCGGGGGGTAGAGGGGGAAGAGGGGGGGGAGGAAGTCGAGTATGTGTGTGTGCGCGTATGGAAAGTGGAAGAATATGAGAGTGTTTGCAACGAGTATATGTGTGTTTGTGTGTTTGAGTGAGTGAGTAAACACCCGGATCGGGCAGGTTTCAGACTAACCCCGATCCCCTGTCCCCTGTCCCCAGTCTCCGTCCTGTCCATCTCTCTCTCTTACCCTCTCCATTCTCCCGCTCTCCTCCTCTCCTCGCATTTCTCCCTCTCTCCCCGCTGCGACGGGGGTAAACACCACTCGCTCGCTTGCATCCACGAAATCGCGAAACGGGTCGACGGGTTACCAACCTTCATGAAGTCGTAGACGTAAAACTCGTGTAGCTCGTGTCGTACGGAGTACTTCTCAGCGCAAAAGAGGTTCAGCGTCGACAGGAAGCTTCCCAGCACTGGAGAGCGAGACGAGGGAGAAAAGAAGTGTGATGTTGGTGTGGAAAGGCGAGGAGGAAGGAGGGGGGAGAGGGGTGGGGAGGGGGGGGGGGAAGGAGGGTGTTGGAAGAGCGGTTTGAATCAATGCGTGCAGCTATTGTCAGGATCGGGGGAAGGTCAACAGCGTAGCGACTACACCCTGAGTTTCTGCGCTATACGAATCTTAGACTGTCCTAGTGCCACGTCTTCTTCACCCTCAGTACCGTAAGGAACATCTCTGCACCTCCCTTATACCTTCAGGCGACTCACTAACCGCAAAGCACCAACGCCAGCCCTGACCATTGTACACCCTTGCAAACCCTCCATTATCACTCTGCACCGCTCCGTACCTTCATCAACGTCGACCGCCACGCGAAGTCTCTGCTGCATGCCTTTCCCTTCGTAGCCAATCAGCTCCTCTCCACTCCATCCGCTCGTCGCTGCACCATTCGCTGAGGCCGTGCCGTTGCTCGTCCCGTTCGCCGGCTCCACCGACGCGCCGTCAGGCTGCCGGACGTTAACCGGCTGACCGGCTGGGGGCCGGCCGTTAGCCGACACCGCGTCCCTTTCCTCCTTCTCTTCGTGAGCGGGTCTCGCACTGCTGACCGCTTGACACGTGGCAAGCGAGTCGTGAAGCGGGGGAGATCGCTTCGACGGCGCCTTGCTGGCCGGCATTCCCGTGTGATGCGAAGAGGCTGTCGCTGACGGCGGCACACGCGGCCCTCTACGTTTCGAGTTGGAGGAAGAAGGTTTTGAGGAGCAAAAAACCCTAGCTGCTGCTACTGCTGCAACGACGGTTCTTGTATCAGATCTACGGGGTATGGCGGCATTCACGATGAACGGTCGAGATTTGGATCTGCAAGATTCGGATCTGCGAGATGGCGACGATCTGCAGAGGATAGACTGCGCATCGTGACGAGAGCTCCGTGTTTCCCGCACGTCGAGAATGAGGCTCGACGTCGCGTTGAGACTCGCTGCGCGAAGAGCCATCGCGCTTTGGTGGCGACTCACACGCCGGTGAACACTTGAGCAGCGAGGTGGAGGGGTTATGAGATTAAGAACGATTGTGTTATGTACACTGTGAACGTTGCTGCGTTACCATTCACCTGATCGCTGCAGTCGTGGCTACGCGGGTTCGTGCGTAAATCCGTCTACGCGAGTGAGCTCCAATGAAGCTCAATGGTAGGAGCAAGGACTCGAAAGCAAGGCAGCAACATGAGACTTCGAATGTGGTGGCTCGAGCAATAGCTGCCAAAAGAGCTAGCTAACCAACTAATCCAAGTGTGTAGTCCTTCACCTCAACACACTTGTGATGGATTGGGTTTTTTTGTTGGTGGTCTGGAGAAAGGTCGTGTGGAGGCACAAGAGTACTTTTTGGCGGGAAATCGACATGCCACCATCATCCTTTTTCAGTGCTGGAGTGTCCACCTCGAAATTACCGGAATGTGGTGTCAGATAAAATCATGCCACACATGAACCAAAAACCAAGGGGGTGTCGTGTCATGACAGTTCAGTTTCGATCAGACGTACTAGACCGTTATCTATTTGATCGAACCACGGATTATGCCTCAGAAGTCCTACCAAACCGCATCGAAGTGGACTTTGCGACACGCCTTGGAGGTTTGCAGGAGTTTCGTTCGGTGTTAGCTTGCGGAGTGGTCGTCGTCGGGTTGGCGGAGGGTGTTGAAGGTGGAGCTGAATTTGCGTGGCTAAAACAAGACAACTGTTGCGCGTGGTGCACACCCATTGGATGATTTCTCCACCGAGTCGTCTTTGTCAGTAACCCTTGAGTCCTGCCGCAAATTGCTGAAGCCAAGGTTTTATGGTTTGAAGGTCAGAACTTCGTTACAGAGTGAACTTCAAACTCGCTAGACATCGAGGTTATTCTTGAAGGGTTTTGTTCGTATCTTGGCCCTCGGGGGCTGTCCCGTCCTGTGAGTATCTTTCGTGTGCATCGACCAGACTGGTTCAGTGAGCTTCGACACGGTATTAAACGGCTCACACCTTGTACCACTTGGACACCACGCATCATACAGCAGATTTGTGGTTGAGAATATACATTGGGTCAAGTACTGAAACCAGTCTTTAGCACGATGTAACGTACTGAACCGCTCTAACAAACCGATCACACACAACAATCCTTTCCACCTCTATGGTAACAGTTTTTAGCGCCATTCGTACATCGAGTACTGCCTTTCCAGCGGGGTCCTCGATCAAGGTGCCATTGCGTTGCCTTTTGTTGCCTTTCGCACTCTAAGCTGATTCCCCGCTAAAGTGGCTAGGGAAATCCCGCGAAATTTTTGTTTGGAAAGAGCTGGACATGGTTGGGCCCGTTGGCCGGCTCACGGCTACGAAACTCAAAGAACGAGGCCGATATAAGACAATTCTTTTCTCCGCTGACCTGTTCCCCCCGTCACTGCCACATTCGCTACTGTCACCCTCAAGCACCCCGCTCGTTTCAAACGTACTTCGCGCGCCGCGTCCATCGCCCCTTACAGCCCCGTCAACCTCCGCGCCCGGCGTCGCGCCGGCGATTCCTTTCCGCCCATGGCTCCTCCCATCTCCATTCCCTTCAGAAACGCCATCGCTCCTCCTCGTGTTGCTTCCGCCGTTCAACATCGCAAGAGTGTGCTGTCCACACAATACATCCCCACATCACACACTCCCGCATCACGCACTCAACACCTCGTGGCTTCCACGTCACACACCCGCTGCTCCACACACGCTCACGCGCACACGTCTCCGCGCACCTCTCCCCGCTCCTCTCCCCGCGAGAACCCGCGCCAATCACGACTCACCCGCAGGTAGCCCCCGCCACCAGGTGCCGCCTCCCCCTCCCCGCCAAGCCACTCAGGTAAAACCTCCCTCGACGGACGCACATACAAATCCTGGCCACACAGCTGACTCCCCATCAGGGAGCGGACGGTTGAGATACGATCCTGAGGCGATCGCGGCGGAGTACAGATGGCGGCCAATGACAGTAGCGAGGCGCACGGGTGTGACTATAGCGGAGATGGGGCGCATGTGGTGGCGGAAACAGACAGTGGCGGACGTAAAAGTGCGCGCTAGGAAGGTGCGTAGGAAGATTCGCATGTGAGAGTGTGCAGACTGAAAGGAAAGGAGAGAGTGTGGAAACTGCATTGTGCATTCAAGGCAATGGACACTGCTCCTCCATCCCTTATACTCCTCCTTCCGCTATGCTCATTGCCTCTCTGCTCTTCCCCCTCCCTCCCCCCGTCAGTTCAGGGAGTCTCTTGTTCGCCTCGGCCCTTTCTATGTCAAGGTATGTGCGCCAGACCGAGAGACTCACTGAGAGAAGAAGAAATGGAAAGCGTCATTGAATTTATTCTGGAAGTGAGATGACTGCTTAGACTGTAAAATGATTTGTCTCAACGCTATTCCTCCTGCCCAGTATTTGTCTGGGCAGGCCCAACACTATAGACTTGTGAGTTGGCAAACACCAACCCACCCCCCCCCCACCCCTCACCTCACCCTTCCGCTCTCTCCAGCTGGGGCAGGCGCTGAGCACGCGCCCCGACATCCTGCCGCCCGAGTACTGCGCTGAGCTGGCGCTGCTGCAGGACCGCATGGCGCCATTCCCCTGCCACGTGGCGCTTGCTACAGTGCAGCGCGAGCTGGGAGTGCCGCCCGGCGAGCTCTTTGCCGAGTTCAGCCCGGCCCCTGTGGCTGCTGCGTCGCTCGGGCAGGTGTACAAAGGTAGAAGGGGGTGTGAAGGGGTGTAAGGGGCTGTAAGGGGCTGTGTACAAAAGTAGCAAAAGTAGGAGAGGGTGTAAGGGGATGTACAGAGGTAGAAGAGGGCGTGTTCTGAGTCGACTCTATCTAAACACAGTGCGAGCTGGGAGTGCCGTCCCGTGACCTCTTTGCCGAGTTCAGCCCGGCTCCGATGATTGCTGCATCGCTCGGGCAGGTGTACAAAGGTAGGAACGGGTGTGAAGGGGTGTACTTAGGTAGGAGAAAGTGTGCGCAGGCGTACAATGGCAGGAGAGGGTGTGTGATGGGTGTGTTTTGACTCGAATCAAAACACACCGTGAGCTGGGAGTGCCGCCCGGCGAGCTCTTTGCCGAGGTCAGCCCGGCTCCTGTAGCTGCTGCATCGCTTGAGCGGGTGTACAAAGGAAGGAGGAGGGGTTGTGCAAAACGTAGGAGGGGGTGCAAGGGGGTGTAAAGCAGTGCCCTACATGTGAGCTGGGAGTGCCGCCCAGCGAGCTCTTTGCTGAGTTCAGCCCGGCCCCGGCGGCTGCTGCATCGCTGGGGCAGGTGTACAAAGGTAGGAGGAGGGTGAGGTGATGTAAGGGGCTATGTACAAAAGTAGCAAAAGTAGGAAGGGTGTAAGGGGATTCACAGAAGTAGACGTGGGTGTGTGCCGGTATGTGTGTGTATTGAGAACACAGCGCGAGCTGGGAGTGCCGCCCGGCGAGCTCTTTGCCGAGTTCAGCCCGGCCCCCGTGGCTGCTGCGTCGCTCGGGCAGGTGTACAAAGGTAGGAGAGGGTGAGAGGGGGTTCGCAGAGGTAGGAGAGGGTGTGAGGGACTCTCCCGCACGTCCGTTTTGGGATTTTTAATTCAGGGGATGTGAGTTTGTCAACTACAGGAAGCTCTTTGCTGAGTTTCAGCCCAGCCCCAATGGCCGCTGCGTCGCTCGGGCAGGTGTGCAAAGGTAGGAGAGGGGTAAGGAGATGTAAGGGGATGTAAGGGTATGTAAGGGTATGTAAGGGGATGTAAGGGGATGTAAGGGGATGTAAAGGGATGTAAGGGGATGTAAGGGGCTGTAAGGGGATGTAAGGGGATGTAAGGGGATGTAAGGGGATGTAAGGGGATGTAAGGGGATGTAAGGGGATGTAAGGGGATGTAAGGGGATGTAAGGGGATGTATCCCCTTACAGCTGCATTAGCAGCAAAGCAGCAAAGCAGCAAAGCAGCCGGGTCCTTTTGGTTGCTGCATCGCTGAGGCAGGTGTGGGACCTCAGCTCCATGAGGTGACTTTTGAGGCGACTCAAAAGTCGCTCCACTCCATCCATGCAAGGTGACTTTTGAGTCAAAGCTCCATTCTGCACAGCTCTGCACTGCACGCGCACATGGTGGAAAGAGGTTGGGGGCGGTGGTAAGAGAGGTGGACCCATAACATCCTTCTTGCACCTCCATTCTCTCTTCATCGCTCCCTCTTTCTTCATTCTCTCTCCCACTCTTCTCTCGCACTGCATTTCTCCTCTCCTGTCCTCTTCAAACCCCCCCCCCCCCCCCCCCCCCCCCCCCCCTTTCCTCTTAACCTTCGTTGTTCTCTCTTTCTATTTGCTCGTGGCGTTTTTTGTAATTGAATTGAAAGCCTCGTGTGAATATAGCCGAAGGTGGATCTTGAGTAGAGTGAGAAATCACACTGCAGCTTCTCACATCACAACAAGGTGTGACTCAACTCAATCGTTCCACTCTTTGCCCATCTCATCCCGTCCCACCCGCCCTCCCTCGCACTCGACCATCTTGCCAGCGCAAGTACCGAGCTGAGCAGAGCATGTGGCAGAGAAGGTGCAATGACCAGCAGCAGCAGGGCAGCACGGCAGCACCTCAGAGCAGGGAAGGTCCATTTCTTGCTCCTCTCTGCTCTCCTTTCCCAATCCCTTCCACCCTCGCCCGTCAGCCCGCCTGCGCTCCGGCGAGTGGGTGGCGGTGAAGATCCAACGGCCAGCAGTGCAGCAGCAGATCGCCCTGGACTCCCTCGTGGTGCGCCGCGTGGCAGCGCTGCTGCAGCCTCTCGTGCACGGCAGATCCGATCTCGTTGCCATCGCCGACCAGCTGGTGAGTATACGGACAAACGCAGTGAGCTGGTCTGGTCCGGATTATATTTCGTTCGCGCGTCTCACAAGCTGACTGAATCAAGGCAGAGGAGGTGAAGAGAGGAGTGGAATACCAAGTCAGATAATCTGAACAATCAATCAAGTTGATTATGAAAAGAATCAAAAGTGATTTCAATATAGCTCGGTACCAGTCAGCTAATTCCTATAATCGAGTTGACTCTGGAGACAACTCGAAAGTGAGGAGTCGTCTAGTACCAAGTCAGCTAATCTGACTACTCGATCATTTCAATCGAAGCGAACCAGAACAGCAGATTGCCAGGAGAGTTTGCGATTCTTAAGGCAACGCAGAAACAGACTCACAACCATCCCAGCCACCTGCTTAGACGTGTCCCACACACTCATTGCCCTGTCCGCCCCCAGGTGTGCCGCATGTTCGACGAGGTGGACTACGAGCAGGAGGGACGCACGTACAATGTGGAGCAGTCGGGCTGTGTATAACAAGTCATGTGGTACAGTGGTAGCTCACAAGTGTCCCACCCACATCATGCCTCCCAGGTGTGCCGCATGTTCGATGAAGTGGACTACGAGCAGGAGGGGCGCAATGCAGAGCGCTTCCAAGCGCTCTATGGCGACCACCGGCCCGTCGAGCAAGGTTCTATGCTTACCCCTTGGCAGCACTGCCTGCCTGCCTGCCCTGCCCTGCCCTGCCCTGCCCTGCCCTGCCCTGCCCTGCCCTGCCCTGCCCTGCCCTGCCCTGCCCTGCCCTGCCCTGCCCTGCCCTGCCCTGCCCTGCCCTGCCCTGCCCTGCCCTGCCCTGCCCTGCCCTGCCCTGCCCTGCCCTGCCCTGCCCTGCCCTGCCCTGCCCTGCCCTGCCCTGCCCTGCCCTGCCCTGCCCTGCCCTGCCCTGCCCTGCCCTGCCCTGCCCTGCCCTGCCCTGCCCTGCCCTGCCCTGCCCTGCCCTGCCCTGCCCTGCCCTGCCCTGCCCTGCCCTGCCCTGCCCTGCCCTGCCCTGCCCTGCCCCGTATATTGGAGTGACTTTTGAGAATTCTCAAAAGGCAGCACTGCCTGTCCTGTCCTGCCCTGCCCCGTAGAAAGGGAAGTTTTCAGACATCTCAAAACTTCGCGTGGGTTCTGTTCGTACCCCTTGGCAGCGCTTCCTGTCCTGCCCTGTAGCAAAGACTGATTGCTCGAGAGATGGGTTATCGTTGACTTGAGATTCTATGAACTGGACAACCCTAGGTCCGTGCCCTCCACCGTGCTCTTTGTTTGGCTTGGCTGCATCGCCCTCCGTGTAATTGATCTACTTTACCTTACCATGCCATCCTCTGCGGGTACTTGCCATGCCATGCCATGCCATGCCATGCCATGCCATGCCATGCCATGCCATGCCATGCCATGCCATGCCTTTCCGTACCTTATCTTGCCATCCAGGGACCTCTCACCTGCTGCCTGTCTGCAAGGGCTAAACTTGTTGTTCCGCTCCTCGTGCTCTTGCCTTGCCTCTCTGGCTCCCTCCCATCCCAGGGCAATCGCAATCGCAAGCCTCTCAGGGCATGCGCCGCGGCCTTGTGAAGGTTCCAAGAATCTTCTGGAAGTACTCCAGTCGGCGCGTGCTCACAATGGAGGTGCGTGAATAGGATGCTCCTAAAGGTGAGAGTTTTAATAAAATTATAAATGATCCCTCTTCAAGTGAGGTGAGGGATTTCTGCGAACTCTAAAAAAACCTTCGCAAAGGTGCGGGGTTTTTAGATTTTTGTAAAGTAGAATGTCTTATGAGATTAGGCATATCCTAATGAATGCGTTTCTGAGTCTGCTGTTATACGTGTTTGCAACTTGACTCTGCTTCCCTTCTCGCCTCCCATCTCTTTCGTTGCTGTTTCCTTCGCCGACAGTTATTACTGCTTGCATGCAACCAACCACCATCCACCCCGTTCCTTGTCATTTTTTCCACCTCCCTCGTTGCTCCCCCCCTCCCCTTGCTGCAACCTCCCTTGTGCGCGACTCCTGTCATCACACTTGCTGTGCGCCTCCCTTGCTGTCCCCAACTTCACCTGCAGTGGATCGATGGCATAAAGCTCACAGACTGTCCAGCCCTGCTGCAAGCCGGCCTCAACACACCTTGCTGCGCACCTCCCTTGTTGCAAACCTCTCTTGCGCCCCTCCTCCTCCCTTCCCCCACTCACCCCCTCACCCCCTCGCCCTGCGGCAGTGGATCGACGGCATCAAGCTCACGGACCGTGCAGGGCTGCTGCAAGCCGGCCTCAACACACAGTTCGTTGTGGACCTGGTAGGCAGGCAGGCACCGTGTGACATGTGTATTGGGGTCGCAGCGCATGTAGATAATCGGATATCTCTTTTGAGAGTTCTCAAAGTCATCCCAATTCAGTTTGTCGTGGACCTGGTATGTACCTTGTGACATGTGGCATGTATTAGCGTATATGTATATGCAAATATAGATGTCAAATTGAATATATATATATATATATGTGTATATATATATATACATGTGTGTGTGTGCGTGTGTGCGGTCAACACAGTCTGCTCAACCGCAACTCTGCACCCACCCCACCACCCCCCTCCTCTCCCCCCATCACTCCAGGGAGTTCTCTGCTCGCTGCGCCAGCTGCTGGAGGAGGGATTCTTCCACGCGGACCCGCATCCGGGCAATCTGGTGGTGACACGTGGCGGCCAGCTGGCGTACTTTGACTTTGGCATGATGGGCGAGTTGCCACCTCAGCAGCGAATCAGCATCATCCGCGCCGTGAGTGGGCCAGTCGCAGCGGTAGCAGCTGCAGACGCTCCTTTCCTCCTTTCTTCCCAATGCCCACTCCATTTGGTGAGCGGAGTGATCGATCCTGAGTGAGGGGATGAGTGAGGGGATGAGTGAGGGGATGAGTGAGGGGATGAGTGAGGGGATGAGTGAAGGGATGAGTGAGGGGATGAGTGAAGGGATGAGTGAGGGGATGAGTGAAGGGATGAGTGAGGGGATGAGTGAAGGGATGAGTGAGGGGATGAGTGAGGGGATGAGTGAAGGGATGAGTGAGGGGATGAGTGAAGGGATGAGTGAGGGGATGAGTGAAGGGATGAGTGAGGGGATGAGTGAAGGGATGAGTGAGGGGATGAGTGAGGGGATGAGTGAGGGGATGAGTGAAGGGATGAGTGAGGGGATGAGTGAAGGGATGAGTGAGGGGATGAGTGAGGGGATGAGTGAGGGGATGAGTGAAGGGATGAGTGAGGGGATGAGTGAGGGATGAGTGAGGGATGAGTGAGGGGATGAGTGAGGGGATGAGTGAGGGGATGAGTGAGGGGATGAGTGAGGGGATGAGTGAAGGGATGAGTGAGGGGATGAGTGAGGGGATGAGTGAGGGGATGAGTGAGGGGATGAGTGAGGGGATGAGTGAGGGGATGAGTGAGGGGATGAGTGAGGGGATGAGTGAGGGGATGAGTGAGGGGATGAGTGAGGGGATGAGTGAGGGATGAGTGAGGGATGAGTGAGGGGATGAGTGAGGGGATGAGTGAGGGGATGAGTGAGGGGATGAGTGAGGGGATGAGTGAGGGGATGAGTGAGGGGATGAGTGAGGGGATGAGTGAGGGGATGAGTGAGGGGATGAGTGAGGGGATGAGTGAGGGGATGAGTGAGGGGATGAGTGAGGGGATGAGTGAGGGATGAGTGAGGGGATGAGTGAGGGGATGAGTGAGGGGATGAGTGAGGGGATGAGTGAGGGGATGAGTGAGGGGATGAGTGAGGGGATGAGTGAGGGGATGAGTGAGGGATGAGTGAGGGATGGAATGAGTGAGGGGATGGATGAATGAGGGGGATGAGTGAGGGGATGAGTGAGGGGATGAGTGAGGGGATGAGTGAGGGGATGAGTGAGGGGATGAGTGAGGGGATGAGTGAGGGGATGATGAGGGATGAGTGAGGGGAGGGATGAGTGAAGGGGATGAGTGAGGGGATGAGTGAGGGGCATGAGTGAGGGATGAGTGAGTGAGGGGATGAGTGAGGGATGACTTGATGGGATGAGTGAGGGATGAGTGAGGGGATGAGTGAGGATGAGTGAGGGGATGAGTGAGTGAGGGGATGAGTGAGGGGATGAGTGAGGGGATGAGTGAGGGGAATGAGTGCAGTGAGGGGATATGAGTGAGGGGATGAGTGAGGGGATGAGTGAGGGGATGAGTGAGGGGATGAGTGAGGGGATGAGTGAGGGGATGGTGAGGGGATGAGTGAGGGGATGAGTGAGGGTCCAGGTGATCATACATCATCCACCCAGGTGGTGCACAGGCCCAGGCCCTGGCGCATTACTTTCGGGCGCTGCACTGCGTGCCATCCCCCAATGTCCCGTCACAGCCTGTGACAATCTACACCTCCCCCCTCCCTCCCTCCCTCCCTCCCTCCCCTCCCCTCCTCTATCGCCCACCCAGGTGGTGCACTATGTGAATCGCGACGCCCACGGCCTAGCGCAAGACTTTCGGGCGCTGCACTTCATTCCGCCAGAGGCAGACGCGGCGCCCGTTGCTGCAGCGCTTGCAGAGGTGTTCCGGGAAGGCGCGGCGAGGAAAGGGGACAGCATGAGTGGCAGCACGAGTGGCATGGACTTTCAGGTATGGCTCGTGTGACGGACTCCCCTGTGATGGAAGCACTTCATTCCGCCCCTGGCAGACGTGGCGCCCGTTGCTGCTGCACTCGCAGAGGTGTTCCGGGAAGGCGCGGCAAGGAAAGGGGACAGCATGAGTGGCAGCACGAGTGGCATGGACTTTCAGGTGTGGCCCGCATTATTGACGCGCCTCCAAGCCACACGTCATCGTCCTAACCCTTTCCCCCATTCCCCCATTACCGGTAAAGTCTTTCTCTGCTTTTCCCTCACTCAAGCACCAATTTCGCGTCAACTCAGTTTCTTTTGACTCTCTCGAACCTCGACTCTCTCTAACTTCGACTCTCTGTAACCCATCCTCTCCATGGCATGCCAGGGCGTCCCTCAACAGTGATGTACCGCCTCTGCTTGAGCCTTGACTTTTGCATCTGTTTTTAGGCGTCCCAAGAATATACTTTGCATCCCCACTTCCCTTCCCGATCCCCTCCACTGCACCCTCGCCTCTCCCTCAGTCCTCCCCATCCCATCCTCTCCCCCACAGGGTGTCATTCTGCGCCTCTCCGCAGAGATGTGCCGCTTCCGATTCAGCCTGCTGCCTCTCCTCTCGCAGTTCACATCACACGTCCTTTTTCTCTCCACCTTTCTCCCCATCCCCTCCCCCACAGGGGGTCATCCTGCGTCTCTCCTCAGTGATGTACCGCTTCCGATTCAGCCTGCCGCCGCACCTCTCTCTTGTTGTGCGCGCACTGGGCTCGCTCGAAGGCACGGCCACAACGCTGGACCCCAACTTCAAGGTCCGTTCTCAAATGAACTCGTAGTAAGACGAGAGGCAATCCTCTCAGGTGACATTTGAGTCGACTCAAAAGTCAACTCGTAAGAAGAGAGGCAATCCTCTCAGCCTGCCGCCGCACCTCTCCCTCGTTGTGCGCGCCCTGGGCTCACTCGAAGGCACGGCAACGACTCTCGACCCCAACTTCAAGGTCGGACTTGCTGTGCTGCCCCTTGGACTTGCTGTGCTGCCCCTTGGACTTGCTGTGCTGCCCCTTGGACTTGCTGTGCTGCCCCTTGGACTTGCTGTGCTGTGCTGCCCCTTGGACTTGCTGTGCTGCCCCTTGGACTTGCTGTGCTGCCCCTTGGACTTGCTGTGCTGCCCCTTGGACTTGCTGTGCTGCCCCTTGGACTTGCTGTGCTGCCCTTGGACTTGCTGTGCTGCCCCTTGGACTTGCTGTGCTGCCCCTTGGACTTGCTGTGCTGCCCCTTGGACTTGCTGTGCTGCCCCTTGGACTTGCTGTGCTGCCCCTTGGACTTGCTGTGCTGCCCCTTGGACTTGCTGTGCTGCCCCTTGGACTTGCTGTGCTGCCCCTTGGACTTGCTGTGCTGCCCCTTGGACTTGCTGTGCTGCCCCTTGGACTTGCTGTGCTGCCCCTTGGACTTGCTGTGCTGCCCCTTGGACTTGCTGTGCTGCCCCTTGGACTTGCTGTGCTGCCCCTTGGACTTGCTGTGCTGCCCCTTGGACTTGCTGTGCTGCCCCTTGGACTTGCTGTGCTGCCCCTTGGACTTGCTGTGCTGCCCCTTGGACTTGCTGTGCTGCCCCTTGGACTTGCTGTGCTGCCCCTTGGACTTGCTGTGCTGCCCCTTGGACTTGCTGTGCTGCCCTTGGACTTGCTGTGCTGCCCCTTGGACTTGCTGTGCTGCCCCTTGGACTTGCTGTGCTGCCCCTTGGACTTGCTGTGCTGCCCCTTGGACTTGCTGTGCTGCCCCTTGGACTTGCTGTGCTGCCCCTTGGACTTGCTGTGCTGCCCCTTGGACTTGCTGTGCTGCCCCTTGGACTTGCTGTGCTGCCCCTTGGACTTGCTGTGCTGCCCCTTGGACTTGCTGTGCTGCCCCTTGGACTTGCTGTGCTGCCCCTTGGACTTGCTGTGCTGCCCCTTGGACTTGCTGTGCTGCCCCTTGGACTTGCTGTGCTGCCCCTTGGACTTGCTGTGCTGCCCCTTGGACTTGCTGTGCTGCCCCTTGGACTTGCTGTGCTGCCCCTTGGACTTGCTGTGCTGCCCCTTGGACTTGCTGTGCTGCCCCTTGGACTTGCTGTGCTGCCCCTTGGACTTGCTGTGCTGCCCCTTGGACTTGCTGTGCTGCCCCTTGGACTTGCTGTGCTGCCCCTTGGACTTGCTGTGCTGCCCCTTGGACTTGCTGTGCTGCCCCTTGGACTTGCTGTGCTGCCCCTTGGACTTGCTGTGCTGCCCCTTGGACTTGCTGTGCTGCCCCTTGGACTTGCTGTGCTGCCCCTTGGACTTGCTGTGCTGCCCCTTGGACTTGCTGTGCTGCCCCTTGGACTTGCTGTGCTGCCCCTTGGACTTGCTGTGCTGCCCCTTGGACTTGCTGTGCTGCCCCTTGGACTTGCTGTGCTGCCCCTTGGACTTGCTGTGCTGCCCCTTGGACTTGCTGTGCTGCCCCTTGGACTTGCTGTGCTGCCCCTTGGACTTGCTGTGCTGCCCCTTGGACTTGCTGTGCTGCCCCTTGGACTTGCTGTGCTGCCCCTTGGACTTGCTGTGCTGCCCCTTGGACTTGCTGTGCTGCCCCTTGGACTTGCTGTGCTGCCCCTTGGACTTGCTGTGCTGCCCCTTTGACTTGCCGTGCTGCCCCTTGGACATGCCTCACTCTCTCCCCCACTTTCTCACTTCCCCACCCCAACCTTTTTTTCCGCTGCCAGCGAACCACCCTATCAGCTCCTCAAGGCTCTTCTTCCCTTGTCAGTTCACTCTCTCCTCCTTCCCTCTTCTCCATCCGCAACCTTCCGACTCGTCCCTCACCAGGTGTTGGCAGCAGCGTACCCATTCATCATCTGCTCTCTGACCCATCGCCAGACATGCGGGCCATTCTGCATCAGATGCTGCTCTGGCCATCGGGGGTATCAAAGGACAGTGACTGAGTGACCCCACACCACACCTTCCTCACTGCCATTCTCCACCCCCCCCCTCTCCCTCACCAGGTGGTGGCAACAGCGTACCCATTCATCATAGCGCGCCTGCTCTCTGACCCCTCACCGGACATGCGGGCCATTCTGCGCCAGATGCTGCTCTGGCCCTCGGGTGCCATCCGCTGGCAGCGCCTGCAGCGACTGGTGAGATGCAGCGACTGGTGAGATGCAGCGACTGGTGTGATGCAGCGACTGGTGTGATGCAGCGACTGGTGTGATGCAGCGACTGGTGAGATGCAGCGACTGGTGAGATGCAGCGACTGGTGTGATGCAGCGACTGGTGTGATGCAGCGACTGGTGAGATGCAGCGACTGGTGAGATGCAGCGACTGGTGTGATGCAGCGACTGGTGTGGTTGAGCGAGATGCACGGTACTGCTGTAAGGGAGTGGACACACACAAGCCCTTGCTTTGATCACCACCTCACCAGACATGCAGGCCATTCTGCGCCAGATGCTGCTGTGCCTTGCCGTCCATTCGCTGGCAATGAGTCTATTTTTGAGTCGACTCAGAAATAGACTCATCACACGCTGGCAGCGCCTGCAGCGACTGGTGAGCTTCACAAGCACCATAAAATGCTGGTGAGATGCAGCGAGTGGCTAGCGTGAGCGAGGGCAGAGAGAAAGCCGTTACTCTGATCAGCAGCTCAATAGGTTTGAGACACCACCTGCACCACTCGCTGCAGGCGCTGCCAGCGGTTGCTATCCGCTGGCAGTGCGTGCAGCGAGTGGTGAAATTGAGTGAGATGGAAGACGCATTTTAAGTCGACTCAGAAGTCATCTGATTGAGTGAGATGGAGGTTTATGGTGGCACTGCAAGGAGGTTGATTTTGAGAATTCTCTTTGTTTGAGGTTGATTTTAAGAATTCTCAAAATCAACCTCAAACAGACTTCTCCAAATCAACCTCAGTCATCTGATTGAGTGAGATGGAGGTGTATGGTATGGTGGCAGTGCAAGGAGGATCCGCAACTGGTGAGCGTGACATGAGGACATGCACGGTATGGTACGTGCATGTCCTCATGTCACCACCGTAAGCCACGGATCAGCACGGGCTTTGCTTGTACAGCTCACCAGGCTTGCGGCATCTTCTGCACCACGTGTTTGTAGTTTTTTTTGTTAGACATCTCAACATTCGGCCACAACATAGCACACAGGCACACATCAATCCATCCGCATAGCTGGTTCGGAGACGTCTCAAACCGCATCATCCCACCCCACCTCCTCCCTCCTCCCTCCTCTCCCATCACCACCTTCAGGCGTCCGTGCTCTCCAAGCCATCCCCACAGCACTCCACTGGGTTGGACCATAGCTCTCCTATAGAAGCTCAGGAGGGGGAAACAAGGGCGCGGGTTTCTGCAGAGGAAAAGCAGCAGACAACCGTCAGTGGGGAGGAGAAGCAGGGGGGACAGAGGGATGAGCTGAGGGAGGGGGTGGATGCGGCAGCTGTGGTGGCGGCAGCAGGGGCTTTTGAAACGTCACAAAAGGAGAGGCAGCGGGGACAGAGGGATGAGCTGAGGGAGGGGGTGGATGAGGCAGCAGTGGTGGCAGCAGCAGGGGATTTTCTGGCGTATGTGCTGTCTGCCGAGGGCAGCAGCACAAGAGGGTGGCTCGTGCTTGATGCGGTGGCTGCTGGGCAGCAATGGGTGGATGAGAGGGTCGGGTCGACTGGAAAGGAGCGATGGGTGGAGGAGGAGGAGGTGGGGAGGAGGGAGGGGAAGGGAAGGAGAAGAGGGGTTGAAGGAGTGGGGCAGGAGGGCAGGGGAGAGAGTAGAGGAGAGAGAGGTGTGAGGCAGGAGGGGAGGGGAGAGAGTAGAGGAGAGAGAGGTGTGAGGCAGGAGGGGAGGGGAGAGAGTAGAGGAGAGAGAGGTGTGAGGCAGGAGGGGAGGGGAGAGAGTAGAGGAGAGAGAGGTGTGAGGCAGGAGGGGAGGGGAGAGAGTAGAGGAGAGAGAGGTGTGAGGCAGGAGGGGAGGGGAGAGAGTAGAGGAGAGAGAGGTGTGAGGCAGGAGGGGAGGGGAGAGAGTAGAGGAGAGAGAGGTGTGAGGCAGGAGGGGAGGGGAGAGAGTAGAGGAGAGAGAGGTGTGAGGCAGGAGGGGAGGGGAGAGAGTAGAGGAGAGAGAGGTGTGAGGCAGGAGGGGAGGGGAGAGAGTAGAGGAGAGAGAGGTGTGAGGCAGGAGGGGAGGGGAGAGAGTAGAGGAGAGAGAGGTGTGAGGCAGGAGGGGAGGGGAGAGAGTAGAGGAGAGAGAGGTGTGAGGCAGGAGGGGAGGGGAGAGAGTAGAGGAGAGAGAGGTGTGAGGCAGGAGGGGAGGGGAGAGAGTAGAGGAGAGAGAGGTGTGAGGCAGGAGGGGAGGGGAGAGAGTAGAGGAGAGAGAGGTGTGAGGCAGGAGGGGAGGGGAGAGAGTAGAGGAGAGAGAGGTGTGAGGCAGGAGGGGAGGGGAGAGACGGGAGGAGAGGCAGGATCGGGGGGTAGCAGACTGGGTGGTTCTGGTGGTGGTGGGATACGGCAAGAAGCAGACAACGTGACAACACAATGGAGAGACAGAGGAGAGGCTGGGACGGAACAATACAGCAGATCTAGCACGAGAAAGGAACAGGTGAGCACGTAACTTGACGAACCGCATTCCGGAATAGTTGACATGTCTCTCATTTTCTTAATTCTCAGAAGTCGACCTATCTCTCTTCCACCTGTGACTCAGCATGCCTTCCGAACTATCCCACGCAACCCCTGTTCAGCCCCCAGAGACACCGCAACCAGCGGTAGCGATGGTACCAGAGCCGTGTGAGTAAAGGGAGTTTTTGACCTGTGGCTGCTGCTGGTCTCAAAAACTCCCGTATATCACGATGGTACCAGAGCCGTGGCTGCTGCTGCTGCTGCTCTCCTCCATTCCCTCGTGTCCCACCCATGCCCCTCACCCACCCATCACAGGCTCCCCCAATGGACCCCTTGGGAGTACTGGCAGCAGCGGTGCAGCGCGCACCGGAGCTGCAACTGCCGCCACTCTCCTAGATTCATTCCTTCCCCACCTGTGCCGCACCCACCCCCCCCCACCCACATCCTCCACTCATCCCGTGCTCCTTCAGTGGATCCTTTGGGAGCGCTGGCAGCAGCGGTGCAGTGCGCACCGGAGCTGTGGGTGCCGCTGCTCTCATTGATATCTTCCCCACCCATGTTCTCACTCACCCATACCCCCCACCCGCCCATCCCAGGCACCTCCTGTGGACCCTTTGGGAGCGCTGGCAGCAGCAGTGCAGCGAGCACCGGAGCTGTGGGTGCCGCTGCTGGTGGAGACGGCAGGCAGGGCGGAGGCGAGGGAGATGGCGGGCAGGGTGGTGCGAGGGGTGGCCTCTCATGCTGCAGACTCTGCTGTGGAAAGTGCGCTGCTTGCCGTGTCTCGATGGCTCCACTCCAAATAGCTTTGTTATGTTGACTTCAAGCTCGGCAGGGTGGAGGTGTGGAGGTGAGGGAGATGGCGGGTGGGTGGTGCATGGGGTGGCTGCCCCGCCCATGCTGCTGACTCTGCTGTTGAAAGCATGCTGCTTGCCGTGTCCCAGTGGCTGCACTCTAGGTAATTTTTTTTTGTTGACTTGGAATAGAACGCGGAATGGAGGCTAGGGAGATAGGCAGCAGGGCTTTTCAGACCTTGCTGACACGAACACCTTGTTAAGGAAATAAATGAACACATGATGGATAACAAGCTGCGAATTTTGCAGTACACCATAAGCCTTTCACACAGCCGGTACGGTACGTACCATTGAGGTCCTTTTTGGAGGGATGTCTGTCTGCTCCATTACCACAATCAGAAGAGAAGAGTACCCGTCATACCCCGGATATAAGCGCCACCCTCGGATAAGCGCCTGGCGCTTTTAATTGGCGCATGGCGCTTATATCCGCTGCTAGATTATAAGCGCACCCCCTGAAAAAACCTGTTTTATTATAAGCGCACGTAAACTTTAATTCTTGAAATGGGTTCAAAACCCTGTAACGAATTTTACTTTACTCCAGATTCGGTTCCCTTCAAATTCGGACCCTGCACTGGATGCGGGTCCAGTCAGCAGGAGCTGTTAGGAGCTGTCAGAAGCTGTCAGAAGCTGTCAGGAGCTGTCAGATTTGGTGTATCTCCCAGTGCGCGCGAGAATTTCACAGACGACTCCATGTAACTTCGGCTCGGTTGAAAATGCAAGCACGAGAACTACAGGTTGGTGTTAAAAAATATATAAACTATATATGTCGTTTTATAAACGCCGGCGCTTATAAAGTTACCCGATTATAAGCCCACCCCCCTAAAAAAAACCTGTTTTATTATTGCCCCCCATGGGGGTATATCCGGGGTATGACGGTATCAGGCAGGCTAGGTTGCAATGCAGGTGATTGTTACAAGGAGCTTTTGTACACATACATACGAATAGTCCTACGCATTCGAGCCGAATTACTTATAGACTGGCTAAACAATCATACCGGCGGTACCTTATATTCACTGCCATTACCTTACTGCCACCATACACGATATGCCTTCCTGTTTTCCTTGGGGCTGTTGCATTATTGACACATTCTGCTGTGCTTGAGCGCTTTATTCTCTCAGTAAATCTGAACACTGTGTGTGCCATCTCCTCTCTGCCCCGGTCTGCTCACAGCTGGCTCCTCTCTTCAAATGAGCGCTCATTTCATAGATTAAAGGAGGACCTCCCCCCACCTGCCCCATCATCTTCAGCTCTGCTTCTCCCTTGCAGCAGCGGCAGCGTGCCAGCTGTCGCAGGAGATGGCGCCCTCGCTGGCCCCGCCTGCACTCCTGCCCCACTCGACAACTGCAAATCAGCCTCAGGTGAATGCAAAGGTGAAAAATCAGGCGCATCTTCAAACGCCAGCTCGTCTGTACTGTCTGCTCTCCTGAACGCCTCCGCAGCAGCAGAGCTTCTCACAGGAGACATCCCTCTTGCTGCTCTCTCAGCTGTGCCTGCTGGTAGAGGGCTCGACGCTCGTAACCCGGTTACCATCGCCTCCGGTGCTGGCGACGCCTGCGTGCTGCGGGGATGCCTCTTCACAGCCACCAGCTTCACCTGTGGTTCCTTCTCCCTCCCCTTCTCCAACTCCTTACTCCTCCTCTCCCCACCCTTCTCCAACTCCTTGCCCCTCCTCCTCTCCTCGTTACTCTGCCATGCACTCTCCGGGGTTGCCGCACCCCCCTTCGTCTCCTTCTCTGCATCTGACCCCATATCCCCACTTTTCCTCCGCTTCCCGTCCTTCTCACCCCCCTTGCCTGCTCCATCTCCCCCCTCTCCCGCGTCTCCCACGCCCCCATCGGCCCCGTTCTGCCCGTCCTGTTCCTCGTCCAGGAGTTGGAAGGCGGACTGCAGGGACGGGTGCAGGTACGCGCGCGCCAGGAACGACGACGGGTCCAGGTCGGGGCTGATCGTGCGGTCGATCGTGTCCTTGCGGTTCGCCTCCTGTAGAGGGGGGGAGAATGAACGGACAGAAGGAGATGGGACAGGAAGTGGGAAAGGGGAGGATGAGGAGTAAAGAAGGAGGGGGTTGGAGGTGTGGAAGGAAGGATGAGGGATCCAGGTCGCGTCTCATGGTGCCGCCGATCGTGTCCCATGCTCCCTGTGTCCCATGCTCCCTGTGTCCCATGCTCCCTGTGTCCCATGCTCCCTGTGTCCCATGCTCCCTGTGTCCCATGCTCCCTGTGTCCCATGCTCCCTGTGTCCCATGCTCCCTGTGTCCCATGCCCCCTGTGCAGTTGATGGTGTGGTGCAGTTGATGGTGTGGTGCAGTCGATGGTGTGGTGCAGTTGATGGTGTGGTGCAGTTGATGGTGTGGTGCAGTTGATGGTGTGGTGCAGTTGATGGTGTGGTGCAGTGGAAGGTGTGGTGCAGTTGATGGTGTGGTGCAGTTGATGGTGTGGTGCAGTTGATGGTGTGGTGCAGTTGATGGTGTGGTGCAGTTGATGGTGTGGTGCAGTTGATGGTGTGGTGCAGTTGATGGTGTGGTGCAGTTGATGGTGTGGTGCAGTGGAAGGTGTGGTGCAGTTGATGGTGTGGTGCAGTTGATGGTGTGGTGCAGTTGATGGTGTGGTGCAGTTGATGGTGTGGTGCAGTTGATGGTGTGGTGCAGTTGATGGTGTGGTGCAGTTGATGGTGTGGTGCAGTTGATGGTGTGGTGCAGTTGATGGTGTGGTGCAGTTGATGGTGTGGTGCAGTTGATGGTGTGGTGCAGTGGAAGGTGTGGTGCAGTTGATGGCGTGGTGCAGTTGATGGTGTGGTGCAGTTGATGGTGTGGTGCAGTTGATGGTGTGGTGCAGTCGATGGTGTGGTGCAGTTGATGGTGTGGTGCAGTTGATGGTGTGGTGCAGTTGATGGTGTGGTGCAGTTGATGGTGTGGTGCAGTGGAAGGTGTGGTGCAGTTGATGGCGTGGTGCAGTTGATGGTGTGGTGCAGTTGATGGTGTGGTGCAGTTGATGGTGTGGTGCAGTCGATGGTGTGGTGCAGTTGATGGTGTGGTGCAGTTGATGGTGTGGTGCAGTTGATGGTGTGGTGCAGTTGATGGTGTGGTGCAGTTGATGGTGTGGTGCAGTTGATGGTGTGGTGCAGTTGATGGTGTGGTGCAGTTGATGGTGTGGTGCAGTTGATGGTGTGGTGCAGTTGATGGTGTGGTGCAGTTGATGGTGTGGTGCAGTTGATGGTGTGGTGCAGTGGAAGGTGTGGTGCAGTTGATGGCGTGGTGCAGTTGATGGTGTGGTGCAGTTGATGGTGTGGTGCAGTTGATGGTGTGGTGCAGTCGATGGTGTGGTGCAGTTGATGGTGTGGTGCAGTTGATGGTGTGGTGCAGTTGATGGTGTGGTGCAGTTGATGGTGTGGTGCAGTTGATGGTGTGGTGCAGTTGATGGTGTGGTGCAGTCGATCGTGTCCCCTGCTCCTTGTTCCAAACTCCCATTGCCTCCCTGATCCGCATGTGCTTCTGCATCGGTGCACCGTTGAGAATTCTCAAAAGTGGCTCCCTGTGCCATCCTCCGCGTCCCTTGCTTCCGTTCCCCCGCCCATAATCTCCACTTGCCACCATCACTTGCCTCGAGGGGGCATTCGGAGAAGTAAGAATCAAAGGGTCTGTCCATGAACGGATAGCTTCTAAGTTTTCTTTCCAGTGATCGGCACAAGAAACAATCCCCACGTGCCACCACCACTTGCCTCAAGAGCGTATTTGGAGAAGTTGGAGTCGAATGGTCCGCTGATGAACACGTAGTGGAAGGCGACGGTGACGATGGGCAGTGGAATCAAGAACCACACCTGCTCGTTTTGGGGTACACACGGTAACAGGGAGCAGAATGAGAGTACAAAAACTGAGCCATGGGGGAAAATGCTGAGCAGGTTCTGGGATGCTTTGGCACACAATGTGCAGCAGTGTCTTTTGAGAGCTCGCAAACGTGATGCTGTACATGCATGCAGCAGCGCTGTGAGGTGCCATGAACTGCAGCTCGCAACAACGACACCTTGTTCCAGATATGTATGCCTTAATTTCACATGAGCAGCAGCAGCAGCAGCAGCAGCAGCAGCAGCAGCAGCAGCAGCAGCAGCAGCAGCAGCAGCAGCAGCAGCAGCAGCAGCAGCAGCAGCAGCAGCAGCAGCAGCAGCAGCAGCAGCAGCAGCAGCAGCAGCAGCAGCAGCAGCAGCAGCAGCAGCAGCAGCAGCAGCAGCAGCAGCAGCAGGGGGAGGAGGAGGCGGTTGAGCTGGCGTCACCTGCAGTTGGGCCTCTTTGAGAGCAAAGATGCCGATGAGAGTGAGGTGCTGGATGATCATGGAGGCGATGAGGCGCGCGTGGAAGTGCGGCCAGTAGGCTCCCGCCGTCTCATACTCCGCGTTGTACACGTTGATCATCTGGAGATGGGGGAATGGGGGAGGAGGTCAGGAGAGGGAATTGGAGAATGCGGTACGCATGGTACTTCGCCAGCTCATACTCCACATTGTTCATCTGAGAGGGGGGAAATTGAACAGAGGGGAATGAGGTTGGTGTGGGGAGGGGGATGGGGGGATTTAAAAGGGGAAGGTTGAGAGAACATGATGCGGTGATAAAAAATAAAGCCTAATAAAATCCATCCCGTAGCAGCAGCCACACCCCACCTTGTTACGTCTGCCCAGCCCACGTGGTTGCGGCAGGCCCATGCAGTCAATAGTAAGCTGAGCCTCACTCCATTCCACCTCACCTGCTTGCAGAAGCCCCGTACAGTCGTTAGTGACCCCAACCCTACCCCACCTAGCTGCAGCAGCCCCACCCACTATGCAGCCCCAAGTTGCCCCCACCCCACCCCACCCCACCCCACCCCACTGCACCCACCTGGTTGCGGTAGGCGACGAAGGCAAGGACGAAGAAGACGATGGCAAAGATGAGGTAGAGCGGGTTGGAGACACAGTAGACAAAGGGCAGCAGGAAGTAGAGCTCCACCTGTAGAGGAGTGGAAGGGGGTGGAACGGGGTGAAAAGGGGTGGAAGGGCAACAGGCAAAGTGGATTGACACGCAAAAGAGAGCTGGTGTGACAGTGAGTGGGTTGGAGACGCAGCGCACAAAGGGGTACAGCGAGCTACAGCGAGAGAGCACACCTGGTAGAGCGTTTCGATGAGCGTGAGCGGTGAGGGGTTCATGACCTTGATGCGGTCCGCTGGCGTTCGCACCAGCAGGTTGTTCTGTGGGGGGCGGGACGAGGGGCAGGGAGAGGGGCGGGGCGAGTTGTGAAGGGTGAGGGGTGATGGGTGATGGGTTCATGGCCTTGATGCGGTCCGCTGGCGTGCGCACCAGCAGGTTTTTCTGTACACCAAGGGGCGAGGAGTGAGGGGCGAGGAGTGAGTGGTGAAAGTGGAAAGTGGTGAGGAGGGGTAGAAGGACGGGGCGCGGAGGGACAGGTAGAAGGCTCAGCCATCCGAAACCCTAGGCACCAACTACAGGAAGCACATACAGAGTAAAAGACAGCATTCCAGTAAAAGTCACCTCACGACTTGAGGTGCCTCACGATCAGACAAGTGGCCATGCCACTCCACCATATCGATTCTTGTACACGGTCCTCAGAATCACAGCATCCGCATGGCCATGCCAGTCCAGCACTTGATTCAGCCAAGCCAACACAGACTGGTGGTAAGGGGAATCGTGGTTTCCACTCACGCCCTAAACAGCAAGCACCACCGGCTCAGCCCACCTTGATGTGGAACATGATGCGCGGCACGAGCTGCAGCACCTCCATGGGCTTTAGGTCAGCACTTCAAAGCTTCACGTTACACAGCAAGCCCCACCGGCTCAATCAACCCACCTTGATGTGGAACATGATGAGCGGCACCAGCTGCAGCACCTCCATGGCCATGCCGGTCCACCCATCCAGCATGGTGTACGTCATGAAGAACGTGGCCTTGGTGGGGATGCGGTCGCCCAGGATCTTCGGCACACTGGGAGAGGTGTTGGTAGTGGTGGAGAACAGTAGGGAGCGTTGGGGAAGTGAACGGTGCGCAACGGTGCGTAATGTTGGGGAGGGAACAGGGGAGGACACTTGGGTTGGGAGAAAACAGGGCAGGCAGTGGGGAGGGAACATGGTAAGAGGAGAAGGGGTGGGGTAGAGATAGAGAAAATGTGCCGACTGTCCAGCAGCACGGTGTGGGTTTTCAAGAAGGTAGCCTGAAGCAGCTGGGGATGCAGTAGCAAAGGAGGGTTGAGTGGCACAAGGAGGGACAAAGTCAACAGGCTTTCAACAAGGGCTCTTGGCGCGTAGGGCTTTCAACAAGGGCTCTTGGCGCGTAGGGCTTTCAGCTCAGAAATTCGTGTGCCTTTGAAAGGATTTCAGCGACTCTCGGAACTAGAATTCAAGCGTTCGTTGGACTCACGCGGAGGGGTTTTGGGAGAGGGTTTTGGCCTGGTCGAGGAGCACACCGCCGAGCACGTTGGCAAAGAAGACGGTGCCGATGATGAAGTAGAAGTACTTGCCCGTGGCCGCCAGGTCTATGCCCGACTTAGCCGTGTACCCCTCCGCCGTTGACAGGAACGTTAGTAGCATTGGCAGGATCGCGAGGAAGATCTTGAGCGCGATACCGGAGAGAACACTCTTCACGAACGCGTTAATGAAGGGACTGATGGTGGGTTGGGAAAAGGGGGAAGGGGGGAAGGGGATTGGGGGTAGGTGGGTGGGAGTGTCAGCCAGCTCCATAGGTGGGATTGCTGAGATGTTGAGAACCCATCCGCACGCCATTCAAACGCCATGCAAAACCCGTTCAAATCTCGTCCTAAAGCCATTCAAACCCCAGCCAAACTCAATCCGATCCCTTCCTAACCCTACACACCATTCCACATCACCCACACTCTGACACTGCGCCCACTATATCTGATCCGGCACTGTGATCACCAGACATAATTACACCAAATCCCTGGACCCCAAAGCCCTGCAACCACCCCTCTAAAACCCTGCACCCCAATCCCCATTCCCAACCTAACCCACTCACACGTTGAGAATGGGGCTCGAGAAACGGCGACACTTTTGCCAGCTGGTGCACAAAGCTGACGGGAAAAGCGTACTCCAGAATGATTGCCCCCGCTCTAAAACCCCACTCCCCAAACCCCAAACCCTAGCTCGACTACTCACACATTGAGAATTGGCTCCAGAAACGGCGCCACTTTCGCGAGCTGGTCAATGTTGGCGAGCGACTGCACGAAGCTGACGGGGAAGGTGTACCCCAGAATGATGGCGATCACAATCCCGCCGACAACGATCCGCCGCAGCATGAGGCTGACATACGGCATCGGCAGGTTCTCCCACTTGACGTCGCGCTGCTCCGGCGCCCAGTGCGTGATCCACTGCGAGCTGTCTTTTGATTGGAGTGTCTGGGCTGCCACTGCTGCGCCCCACCGCGTGCGGAACGAGACGAACGCGGCCGGCATGACGGAGGAGCTGTCATTGACCACCTTCTCACGCTCTTGCAGGATCTGAATTAGTGGGGGTGCGGGGGGGATGTGGAGGTGGACAGGAGGGTTTTAGAAGTGGACGGACAGGAGGTTTTTGGAGGTGGACAGGAGGTTTTTGGAGGTGGACAGGAGGTTTTTGGAGGTGGACAGGAGATTTTTGGAGGTGGACAGGAGGTTTTTCAGTTATTCTCACGTTGGTTTCGGAGCACATTGAGACCAGAGAGAAAGTGCTCCTAGCCTTAGTAGCCAAAGCTTTATCAGCCTTAGTAGCCAAAGCTTTATCAGCCTTAGTAGCCAAAGCTTTATCAGCCTTAGTAGCCAAAGCTTTATCAGCCTTAGTAGCCAAAGCTTTATCAGCCTTAGTAGCCAAAGCTTTATCAGCCTTAGTAGCCAAAGCTTTATCAGCCTTAGTAGCCAAAGCTTTATCAGCCTTAGTAGCCAAAGCTTTATCAGCCTTAGTAGCCAAAGCGTAGTGCTCCTAGCCTCTCCTCTACCAGTACTTCAGTCTCCTCTACCTCCTGCTTACGTGCTCACATATCTCCTCCAATCTCTGCGTACATGACCCCATATCTCCTCTACCTTTCTGCTTACATCAACCCGTATCTCTATCTTGTGCTTGCATACCCCCTTTATTTTCTCTACCAACTGCCCACACACCTCCTTCTTAATCTCGATAATCTTCTGTGTGTAGAACTCAATTGAATCGACCTTCGTGCCCATCATCCCCAGAAACCCGTCCTGCCATGGTGGGAATGAGGTGAGTTAGGGAGACAGAGGTGATTGTAGGGCGAGCGAGATGTATGGCAGGAGAGTGAGGAGAGTGAAGGAAAGAGAGTGTATGGAGAGCGAGGTAGGGAGACTGACGTGTGTTGTAAGAGAGAGAGGTGTATGGGAGAATGAGGCGCGTGTAAGGAGAGTGAGCTGGAGAGGTTAAGCTACACAAGATCCGGCCAGGGAGGAGCAAAACGGGAGGAGAATGAAGAGGAGTGAGATGCAAGGACATAGACAATGCCGCAGAGGGGTTGTAGGGAGAAATAGTGCAGTGCGAAAGAAGTGGGTTCAGCGGGAGGGAGTGGTTTCCGTGGGACGGAGTCAAGAAAGAGTGGGATGGTGGCAGAGGAGGGCACAGAGGAACAGTATGGCACCTTGTGCATGGGACGCTCGCCCATCTTCTCCAGCTTGATCTCCATCTGCCCGTGTTCTCCAGCCAATCCCTATTCGTCTCCAGCCAGCTGACTGTTGGCTCAACCCAAGTCACCTACCTTGTGCATGGGGCGCTCGCCCGTCTTTTCCAGTTTGATCTCCATCTCTGTCAGCTTGTTCTCCAGCCAGTCCCTCTTCGTCTCCAGACTCGACAGCTTGTTGGCGTTGTACACCGGCTGCCAGGGGGGCGAGTAGGGGGGGGTGTGAGGGGCGAGCAGGGGGCGAGCAGGGGGGAGTGTGAGAGGGCGAGCAGGGGGGAGTGTGAGGGGGCGAGCAGGGGGGAGTGTGAGGGGGCGAGCAGGGGGGAGTGTAAGGGAGAGAACATGGGGGTCACGAGAAAGATATTGTGGGAAGAAAATTGGAACAACTTGTTAGCGTTGTATATGGGCTGCCAGGAGGGGAAGCAGGGGATGAGAAGGAGGTGAAACAGGGAGGAGATGGGAAGGAAAACGTGGGAAGAAGGAAGGAACAGCTTTGTTGGCGTTGTGCACGGGGTGCCAGGGGGGAAGAATGGGGAGGATGGAGGGGGAATGTAACAAAGGGATGTGTCACAAGTTGCTCAATTTCGTCTCACTCTCATCTCACTGCCATCTAGCTTTTCAGCTCACTCGCATCTCCCTGGTACCTCACTCGCATCTCCCCCTCTGTTCTCCCCATTGTATTCACATTTCATGCACTTGCTCACTTTGCCTTCCATTTTCACGGTTTGTTAGCCCATCCCAACAAGGAGACACGCTCGCACCTCTGCTGCTCTAGTCTGTACTTTCAGGAATACAAACCCACCCGAAGCGACGTGAAACCGTTCTGAATGACATGACACCCATATGGTGGAGATGAAATGAAACTGACCTGAGTGAGCAGGTAGTGATCGGAGTGGTTGACTGAGAAGAAGTGGTCCACGGTCTCTGGGATGGACTTGATGGGGTCTGCTGGCACCTGCCGCACCAGCACCTGCCATGGGAGCGCGAAGGAAAAGCAAAAAAAAGGCCATGCATGCGCATAGCAAGGGGATAGAGTTTAATTTTGAGGATGTGCAAGGAATGGGAGCTCTTTACATCCTCTCTTCACCAGGATTACAGTGAGCGGGTTATGTGTCACAGGGTAAAGTGTCGATGCACATCAAGACTAGAATTGTGCGCAACCACGAGCGTCTCATAGTGTACCGGTTGGGCAGCCACAGGTATAATGTTGTTGATGCGGGTCAACACTAGAGTCGTCTTAAACCACGAGGGACTCACAGTGTACTGGTTGGGCGCTCTCTGCTGGTCCGCGAGGAAGTCAAGGCGCATGCGGGCAACGTGCTTGAAGGACTCTCGCAGCATGTACAGCGCCCACAGGTTGAACACCCACGCCAACACCACATGCGCCCACAGGCTGCACGCGAGTCAAACATGCGATTTCAATCGACAGAGAGAGGGGAGAAGTGCGAGGACTAGGTAAGAATTTGATTAAACATTTGCAGAGAAACGAAGGTAGAGGGGGTCGAAGAATAAACACATGCGGAGCGTAGGAACGGGATGGAGTTGAATCAGGCACATTGATCGACCTTGCCAAGCTCGCCTTATCGCCCAGCAATTAGCTCAGCCTGGACGAGCCATTACTCTAGCTTGCCTCGTCGAGCGTCACCTGGGCGAGCCATCGGGCACGTTGGCGATGGAGAGCTTGTCGATCTCAGAGTAATCAAAAAGCTTCGCTTTCGTGTTTCCCTGGTCCACCTGCTCCTGCGCGTACGCCGCCTGCGCCTCCAGCGACCCTCCCGTGAAATTGATGGGGAACAACACTGCGGCCGCCAGCAGCAAGATTGGCACGAAGATCTTGAACCTGTCGGATTGTCAACATGATGACACGTGGATGGGTGGGGGAACATTCATAAACGCCTGCGATGAACCATCTGCAGTGGTGGTCAACCGCAGTCGATGGCTTTTGGACCTAGAACGGCAAACGCGAATGAGAATTTCACCGAGGTTCACGTGACCAGTAAAAGTAGTGCTTCACAGCCGACCTAGTCTTAGCCCCACAAGAAATTTGAGACGTACCCGAGTTTTAGTGTGTGGAGGAAGACGACGCTATCGAGACCGGCGTGTTTGATGAGCTCCCTCTCGGGCATGGCGAGGGCCACCTTGACCCAGTCGAACGTGTCGGCGTAGTTTTTCAAGGAGCACTCGATCCATCGCCGGCTCTTGACGATGTTGCCCTCTACCTCCGCCTGCTCGTGCTTCTCCGTCGCTTCCTGCGCGCCGAGCCACGTGAGGAGCACCGAACTTGACATTTGTGACCCTTTCAAGAGCCGTCACGTAAGTAGCACAGATTCTCAGTTGCACGGGCTGATTGTAAAACGGTGATAAGATAGGTTACTAGACGCAGCAAGGTCGTAACGAAGGGTGACAAAGCGAGGTCGTAACTAAGGATACCGTAGTCGGAATCGTGGGGTTGACGGACTCAAGGTCGACATGTGACAAGCTCAGTCGTTACTAATCAGCTTTGTGGGTATTTGCATCCAGTTGTGAGACTCATCCTGTCACAACCATCTGTACAAAGCCATGACTGCTACTGTTTTAATCGAATGCGGGTGTCGAGTATCGCACATATTGCGTCGTGAATAGTACATTTGTCTTGGACCACATCCCTCATACACTACATCCTTCATTTTACTCTCGCTGTCTGCATGCTCGCCTTCTATGGTACTTCGCACTTTACTTCATGCACTTACAGACCACAATTACCGATATATTTTACATTATTCAATGAGCTAGACCCTTGCGGGATTTAAAAAAAAAAAAAAAAAAAAAAAAAAAAACGACAAGGAAAGATAGTAGCCGACCTTGTCATTTATACAGAACCATTTTGTGTAGTAAACGCGGGCATTCAGCGGTTGTTGCGAGCAGACAGAGTAGAGAAATAAGACGACCAGCGAAACTCCCAAGTTGACGCCGAACGACACACCTAAGTCCGCGAACGTCACTCCCATGGAATTCTATCTCTCGCACCTCGACTGCAGTCAAGAACTAAAGCGAGAAAAACAATCTGAACAACCTAAAAGGGTGGAAACAGCTCACATGAGCGACGGAAATGCTAATCGTAGAATGCAAACAAGACAGGAGGAGGTTGTGGAAGGTGAGTACAAATTCTCATTAGATGCTGGAGAAGGGAGTGAAGGGCAGGAGGACGAGGAGGCAGCGGGTGGGACAGAGGACAATCTCAAGGACGGATGTCTGAACGGAAAGTGACGGTCGAGGTAGCGAGGCAAGGCGATGTTGGCAAATACAGTATAGTGCCTGCTTGAGCAGGCAATCTGCTCGGTCTTGGCAAGAATCGATGGCCAGCAGCAACATGACGGTCGGGTTCTTGAAATGCCCAAAACGTCACGAGCAAGGTTTCGCCGACTAGTTCGTTTGTGCGCTCCGCGTTTTCTTTGTTGAGGCGCTGCCATGTGTTCCAGAGATCGACATCAATCTGGACGGCCAAGGGGAGTGTGGTACAGTATTTGGAGCTCTAGAGCCTCGAGGCGACTTCGTTTTCAGATTTGCCGCCAAGCTGCCGAATCGGCCCAGTTGGTGGTCCGGAACAGAGCGCCACGCCCTGACTTCTTTCTGGGTGCGCTGGAGACATATAGTGAAGAATAGTTACCTCAAGTGCATTATAAGTAGCAGGGTAATCTTCTAAACAATGATAATAACGTGGCGGTTGAGTGTATAAACACAATGGTTAATCTAAATCCAAACACACCCCCACAACCATCTTCAATGTCAGAAAGGCAATATAAAGAATTATTAAATTTTGCTCTATCAAATTAGGAAAAGGCATGATGGTGGGGCATGCTGAGTGGAGTAGGCTGAGCTCAACTCAGCGCACCATTGGTTATAGCGAATTGAACAATATGCTCAACCCTTGAGCCTTCTAAGGAATTTTCTCGACACGGAACCCGACTACATCGCGTACAGCAACAGCCGTTGTTCGCCCGTTACTGCTAACGGGGCTTCGCCGACTTCGCGCACACTGTTTTCACCAAACCTCGCACTGCTGGCATGGCCGTTTCGGCCTACGCTTCGGGACTAGCCCAAGCCTCGCTCCAGCGTAGCACTAGCTAGCTCGCACGCACCGCGTTACCGTTTGCATGTTTCGCGTGTGAAGAAATGAGGAATGAAGAAGAGAGAGGAGTTCACTAGCAAGCAGTTGAGTACATATAGGAAACCCTAAGTTGGGCTGTACTCACTATTGAGTACCCCACTGTAGGCTAGACAAACATAACATTCTGACACACCCCCATAGCCAAAGTGGGGTATAATCAGCACAATGAGCAAGCAGGCATAGAGCAGGAGTTCGCAATAGCGAGCAAAGCTAGAGTCATTCACAAAGGGCAAGTGAGGAGGAGGAGGCGAGACTGTAAGAGGAGAGGAGATAGGAGGCGACGGCTGAAGCTGCAGACACACGGGCAACAGGAGTCACACTGGCACAGCGGCTACCGGAACAGCGCTCCGGACTACTGGAGTAACTGGCTCCGCGGCTAAGACTAGCGGCAGACGAACAACGGACCCACGGGCGACTGGCACAACTGGCTACGACTGGGCTACCGGAGCAGCGCCCCGGACTACTGGTGCTGCTGACGACACGACGACAACCTCCGTTCAACCAACCTCCTCCAGCTGCCCCACACCTCTCGACACACACCCCCTGCTAAAACCCTAGCTCTAATCCCATAGCACCCCCCTTACACCCTAAACCGCAGGGTGCCAGGGCGCCCAGGGCGCCAAAACAGACGGCAGAAGGGGTGATGCTCGCCCCCCTCCCCCATGCCGCGGCCCCCGAAGGAGCCGCGACGGGCGACGGGAAAAGGGGGGGGGGGGGGGGGGGGGGGGGGGGCGGTGCACGTGCCCCCGGTGCGCCGCGGCTGGCGACGGGGCATGGCCGGGGCGGGGCCGGGGCCGCAAGTGGCGGCGACGGGGCCGCTGGAGGCGACGACGGGGCCGCTGGCGGCGTCGACAGGGCCGTTGACGGCGGCGACGGGGCCGCTAGGGTCGGCGACGGGGCCGCTGGCGGCGTCGACAGGGCCGCTGGCGGCGGCGACGGGGCCGATAGGAGCGGCGACAGGGCCGCTAGGGTCGGCGACGGGGCCGCTGGCGGCGTCAACGGGGCCGATAGGGGCGGCGACGGGGCCGCGAGGGGCCTGGAAGGGCGGCGACGGGCCGCGAAAGGGGCGGCGACGGGGCCGCGAAGGGGCCGCGAGGGGCGTGGAAAAGCGGCAGCGGGGCCGCGAAGGGGCCGCGAGGGGCCTGGAAGGGCGGCAACGGGGCCGCTAAGAGTAGCGCGAGGGGCACGCCACGCGGCGTGCCGAACACAGAGTAGCAGCGGAAGCAGTTAGGTGGGCCCACAGGCTAGGACCGTAGATGCTCTGATAGCATGTGAAAATTGAGGAATGAAGAAGAGAGGAGTTCACTAGCAAGCAGTTGAGTACATATAGGAAACCCTAAGTTGGGCTGTACTCACTATTGAGTACCCCACTGCAGGCTAGACAAACATAACATTTTGACATCGCGTATAAATGTTCGCTCATGCCTTCGCTCACATTTTGTACTCGTTTGACACCTTAGTGCAATTCTCGCTACTTCGATTCATTGCACCCGTAACACTTGGTATTTGTCAAAATATGGTTACATATTTTATATAATCGTTTGCAGTTGTAGTGTACATATTGCATCATGTTTGGTGGTGCACCTCCTTGTGTTGCTGTTTGCCTATTTGTACTTGCCATTCTCATTAGTGAAACCATTATTCCTCTCGACTTTCCAAAACGTACTCGAACTCAATTTCTCCTACCTCACTAGCTATGGCTCCTAAGTCTTGCTAGCCTTTTGACATGTTATCAGAGTGACTAAGGTCCTGACCTGTGGGCCCACCCTAAAGCTTCCGCTGCTAATCTGTGTTCGGCACGCCCCGTGACGTGCCCCTGGCCCTACGGCCCCGTCGCCTACCTACGGCCCTACGGCCTCGTCGCCTACCTGCGGCCCCGGCCCCGTCGCCTACCTGCGGCTACGGCCCCGTCGCCTACCTGCCTACCTACGGCCTCGTCGCCTACTTGCGGCCCCGGCCCCGTCGCATACCTGCGGCCCCGTCGCCGCCTTTACCGGCCCGTCGCGCCCCCCCCTTCAGCAGGCCCCGTCGCCTAACTGCGGCCCCGGCCCCGTCCCCTACCTGCGGCCCTACGGCCCCGTCGCCTACTTGCGGCCCCGGCCCCGTCACCTACCTGCGGCCCCGGCCCCGTCTCCTAAACCTGCGGTCCCGGCCCCGTCGCCACCTGCGGCCCCGCCACCTGAGGCCCAGATGCCACCTACGGCCCCGCCCACTTGCGGCCCCGACCCCGCCCTGGCCATGCCCCGTCACCAGCTCCGGCACACCGGGGGCACGTGCACCGCCCCCCCCCCTTTTCCCGTCACCTGTCGCGGCTCCTTCGGGGGCCGTGACCTGGAAAGGGGGGGCAAGCGTCGCCCCCTCTGCCGCCTGCTTTGGCGCCCGGGGAGGCCGTGCGTCGCCCCCCCCCCCCCCCCCCCCCTTCTCCTCCTCCTTTTGTTCCCTCTGCTGCAGCTGCCGCTGGGGGGGAGGGTGTGAGGGTGTGGGGGAGCCCGGGGAGTGGCACTGGGGTGGCGGGTGTGAGACCACCCAGCTGCTGTCCCTCCACCTCTCCTCTATTCCCCCCCTCTGCTGCTCCTGCAGCAGTGTGTGGGGGAGGGGGAAGAGGAGGGGGAGGGGGAGGGGGAAGAGGAGGGGGAGGGGGAGGGGGAGGGGGAGGGTGAGGGGATGGAGTGGGTGACCAGCGTGGGCGGTTTACACTTACCACAGTGGGCGTTTTACACTTACTCCTGCAATCAATTATGGGGGCGTGTCAAAATATGGTTACATATTTTATATAATCGTTTGCAGTTGTAGTGTACATATTGCATCATGTTTGGTGGTGCACCTCCTTGTGTTGCTGTTTGCCTATTTGTACTTGCCATTCTCATTAGTGAAACCATCATTCCTCTCGACTTTCCAAATCTTACTCGAACTCAATTTCTCCTACCTCACTAGCTATGGCTCCTAAGTCTTGCTAGCCTTTTGACAGTATTTAGAGCCCCTTTCTTTCGGACCGCGCATCTCCGCACCTCAGGAAATCAACTTTTGATTTCTCACTCGAAGGGACTCACGTACCTTAGCACCTAGGAGCCGCTGTCCTCGCGTTCTCTCGTAAACGCGTATAGCCACGACTGCGCCTAGACTAAGACGAGCCGACGCCCTTCAAAATGGTTGAACATATCGATGTCACGACTCTCACGCAGGAGCACTTGAACGATCTGCTGCGACAAATCCGCGAGAGCGCCGAGGAAATTGCAACACTAACGGCAGAACGCTCGGCCTTGCAAAACGACCTCACACGAGCACAATCCCAAGCACCGGGCACTCCGATTCAGCCCGCACCACAGACATCACAGCATGGAAGTGTGGGGCAACCCGCGAGCGCCGCAAGTGATGGCGTCGTCCGCCATGACGGAGACTACGACCACGGCACGACACACCCCGACACGACGAATGCGGCCAGGACTCAACCCCGAGTCACGATTCCAGTGCCGGCCGGCGAATCAACTCTTCCGTCGCCGATACCGCTAAAGCCGCAGCGTCCGCCATGCTTTGACCCAAGTCAACGGGGTGGTCCTACCGTTCAGGCGTGGCTCTTCACGTTGAACGTCTTCTTCGACGCGAACTACGTCTTGGAGGATACGGCGAAAATTCGCTACGCCGTGTCGTTGCTGCGAGGACCCGCCATGGACTGGTGGCGCGTCATCGTCACGAAGCCGGTGGACTACGCGACTCTACCGACACGGGACGGACAAACCGGACCCTGGGCGCCGTCGTATTTCGTGGAGGTGCCCCAGTATCGCACGTGGGACGCATGATGCGCAGGTCTACGCGCCCGTTTCGAGCCAATCGCGGCTTTGA